GTCAGAATTAGCATATTTTGCACCACATTTAATTGCTGTTCGAGGATTGATAATAACTTTGCAATAAATATTGTTTGCTTTTTCTTCAAAGCGGAGATAATAAACATAATGCCAAAATAGCTTCATCATTAACAGATTTTGATTCGGCTGACCGATTTAATACCAATGGAATTATAGGGTCTACTACACCTCCTAAATTAAATATCATCCGAAATAAAACCAAATGTATTTCCCTTTATTAGATTCTTTTGGATATGACAACAAACATTGTTGCGGCAAAGAAGTGCTGCGCCTATGGTAACACGTAATCCCAACTTTTGATTTCCTTCATTAACATAATTCCCAACAAAATTCATATTAATTATAAAAATAGATAATTATTCAATTGTTTTAATGTTGAATGAATGAATGAATTATATGTATATTGTGGTTATTTATTATTTATTTGTTAATTATAAAGATAATTATGATGTTACGATTATTATTATTTATTTTAAAATTTTTAATTTTTTACAAAAATTAACTGGTTAAACAGTTAACGGTCAATCTCTCTCATGTTACAGATCTTTTGTCACGTGAATTTAATGAATTTAATGAAGTTTACGAGTCCTCACGTGAAAGTTGTTTGTCACATGCCATTTAATTAATTCTCTGCAAAAGGAAATAATATAAAGAATTGTGTAAATGAAATAATTATAAATAAACTGGCGGTGTTGTTCTCAGTACAAAAAACAATTGTTTTCTCCACTCTATTCAATAAAACACGATAGATTGAGCAAAGTCAAATTTTAAATTTTATAAATACATTTATTTTTACATGATGTCTTATAGTAAATTATTATCATTAATACCACCAGAAAGAAGGGGATTTGTACTTAAAATTGATAATGAGATGTATAATGATGCAATGGTTAATTCTGATCGTGAAAGTAGAAAAGATTATTTTTTTTCATTAGTCAAAAGAAACAAGGAGTTTTCAGAGAATGAAAAAGAATATTCTAAAGAAAGGTTTATTTATGATTTTGAACTAAATAATGCAATATATAAACTTGGCAAACCAAAAGGATGTAATGAGTGTAAATTAACAAGATACTCTGATAGATTCTGCGAAGGTTGTATTAATTTACAACTACAGGATCTTTTCATTACATGGACATCTGGAAATAACATAATTGATAATTTTATTCAGCAATGTCAAATGCAATCATCACTACCAAAATATATTTTAGAATGGATACCTTTTGAGCAATTTGAAAAAGTAACAAAGTTAACAGAGGGTGGATTTAGTTCAATTTATACTGCTGAATGGACAAGGGGAAGAATATTTGATTACAATGAAAATAAAAAGGAATTTAGTTATTATGGAAGGAGAGACATAGTATTAAAAAGTTTAAATAATTCAAGTAATCCAGGAAAAGCATTTTTTGATGAGGTTGGTAATTGACATTTAAAACAACAATACTGTATTATGTAATAATACTAATTGATTTTATATATTCAATTTTAGGCAATGAATCATTATAAAATTAAATCACCAACAATCAATCCTTGTTATGGTATAACTAAATTCCCAGATAATGGAAATTATGCAATAGTTTTAGATTATGCACCAGAGGGAAATTTAAGGAATTATTTGAAAAAAAATTATTTAAATTTAACATTAAAAGACAGAATTACAATCTTTGATTATTTATGTAGTGCATTAGATGATATGCATGAAAAAGATTTGATACATTGTGATTTACATAGTGGTAATATACTTGTGGAAGGAGGTAATTGTTATGTTACAGATTTAGGATTATGTGGACCAGTTGATGAAAAATCATCAGATAAAGTCTATGGAATTGTATCATATGTTGCACCCGAAGTACTTAGAGGCAAAAAGAACACCAAAGAATCTGATATCTATAGTGTTGGGATGTTAATGTGGGAAATATTTGCAGGTCATCCACCATTTGATGATAGAGCTCATGATCATTGTTTAATTTTTGATATATGTGAAGAAGGTTTACGACCACCAATATTACCAGGAATGCCTGATGATTATGTACAAATGATGCAGAGATGTTGGGATGTGGATCCATCAAAAAGACCAACTAGTAGAGAGCTTTTAATATTTGCTGAAAATAAACATAAGGAAATTCGTGATAATGATTGTAGCAGCAACAGTGGTGATGTTGGTGGTATCAATGATTTGCAACAAGTACACAAATCACATCCAAGTGCATACCATACAAGTAGAATATTAGATGAAGAGATTGCTAGATCAAAAAGCTTTAAAAGTTATACAATTAATGACGGTTCATTAAATAATCTTGATTTTAGTTTTCTTGAATAAAAATTTCATTATCAATTAATTGGAAATCACTATCCATTAATTATTACTAGCAATTTGATTGATTAATAAACATTAGATTCTAGTAATTAAAAGAAAGAATTGACGAGTGACTAATTTAATCACCATTGTAAATTTATTTGTTATAATATTTATCTTTTTATTTATTTTTATTTCTAAATTATAATATTTCTTATAATAAACTTTTACAGTTTTTGATTCTTGTTAAATGGTGATATATTGCATATTGCAAGGTGGCCCTTTTGGTTAATGCCAATTACGGCTTAACTTTTGGGCTACTCTTGTCAGTTAATTGCAAGCAACTCACAATAATTCAGTGTTTGTCAATTAACTAACTAGTTTACAAATTTACTTTGGTTCTCGATTACTGCACCTACTGTAAATAAATAAAGAAGGCTTTTTACAAAGCTCAAGGGTTTCGATTTATTTCAGTCGTTCACCCTTGTTTACATTCATTGGCCGATTGCAAACTTGCTTTGGTTTATTGCAAAACAACTTAAGTAGCTTGTTTAACAGCCTTATGCCTACAATTATAATAATGCTAACAGTATTTCAGATTAACCTTTGGACGATACTTTATTAACACCTATGAGTTGACCAATGTTAGTCCTAACCTTTGCTTGCTCACTAAAGCAAATCACGTTGCTAATCGTTGCTAACGCTCACTAGTTCAACGTTAATCCTAACCTTGCTTATTCACCAAAGCAGATAAAATGTGACTTTTTACCAAAGCTTCATAATTGTTACCTTTTACCAAGGAACTGCTACATTTTGTTGCTTTTATCAATGCGCTTTAACAAGGAAAATAAAAACAGCGTTTTTTATTTTTATTTTATTTTTAAAAGCTTGTTAACGTTTAATAAAAATAATGATTCTATCACAGAGGTTTATTTTATCAGAATGTTAATTATCTATTATTTTCCTCTAACGAGGACCAGAATCTATTCTTTGTTGATCACTGCAATGGAAAATTGAAGGTTTATTATTGCAAAGTAACTTAATCAATATTCTTTTGCGTAAAATATTCATTTGATAATAATTATACACTGACCCGGAATATATAAAGTACCAAATCCCTAATCGATGATTTTATCATGTATCAGAAACAAAGGAGAGATTGGAATGCACAAGAAAAAATATAAAAAAACCCTTGGAATGCATATTTATAAAATTTTTTGTGAGCTTTTATATTTTATTAGCCTTTAAAGCAATTTTATTTATACGTCATTTTGACTTAATGGCAGCGAATTTGACGTAATGGTTCTACAATTTTGGTAACGTTTCGTCAAACAACCATCTAATCTATACATAAAACTTGACCGTTTTAGTCCATTAGTATGCTCTTTCTCGGAATCAGTTTTGTATGAGAGCTCATAGTAACATTATTTCTATCACTTAAAATATATTGGCGTAAGTTTGTTCCCTTAATGTTAAATAAAATTTGTTACATGACCAAAAAGTTTTTGCTTGTAAATCTAGGCACAACCAAATCTTTATTTAACACTGGGCTATTCTGGTTCTGGATATTAAAATAAATTGGCCGTAATGTTTCCATATCGGCCACAGTATCATCAAATACTCGTTATTTTATTTGTTTGCACCCATATTGCCTCCAGGCTCTTTATTTTCCCTAAAATGTCTCCTTCTAAATTCGCATCATTTTTTTCAATAATGTAATAAATTACCCTAATAGTTTAAAACTGAGATTGTAAGATATTTTACTGTTGAAATGCTTCGTGTATGTTTGATGAAGCTTCTCAAAAATAGTTGGATTAATTGGTTTAAATTGTAAATTTCTGTTTTAACTCTACATTTCCTAATAGAAATAGTTGACTACCAGCAAACATATTGAACAATCCAATTGATTTCCACAATTCATTTACATCATAATTCTGGCTCTTTCCCAGTTCTTGTCAAATAAAACAGATTCATGCTTATATTTCTCTACGAATGTAATATGGTGGTGGCCATCTATGAAAGCTATATTCACAAATTAGAAACCCCATTTCTTTGTGTATTTCAGGAATTGCTTTATTCTTCGTCGCCATTTAAAAATTATTCTGCTTCACAACATTCTTTTAAATATCGATATTAATAATAACATTTGCCTTTATTATAGAGTCAAGTGTGCATCATACTTGGCTAAGAATTTAATAGTAATCATGTAACATTCTTTACAAAAGCGTTATTCTTGTTTATTTTATTTGCCATTTGAGGAAATGTGGTATGGTTGTATGTTTTCCAAAAGAGTAACGACAATGACAATGATTATCATAATGATAAAAAAAAAAAATATAAAAAGAATTGAATGTCCGACTTTAATGAAACCCAAGATCTTAAAATCATTTGAACCATGAAAAAAATATTGATACTTTTCATTATCAATCTGTTTATTGTCGTCACTAAAGCAGCACCTTTAAGCAATGATGATTTTCGGGGAGATAGCTTACTTGATACCTTGTTATCATTATTTTTACCATTGTTTGTTTATATTTCTTTCTCCAAAGATTTAAAAGCCTCACACTTCACATTAGTTGCAAAGTATATTGTAAGATTTTTCATAAATGTATTCACAACGTTTATAGTAATTTATTCTTTTTGGGCTCTTGAAAATAGTATTAATCCTAGTAAGAGTTGGACGATAATGTTTGTATGTTATGGTGTAATGAATTTGATAACCACGATAATTTTTTTAATTCATGAAATTAATAAAAGCATTGATGTTAAACTTGAAACAAAAGCAGACAGTGCAGAAATGCGGGCTTTGAAGGAAATTAGAGAATACGAGGAGGAAATTGGAATTAATCATGAAAAATATTTAAAAGAAAATAAAGAAATTGAAGCTATTGGCTTTGAAAGAAAGCTAAAGGAAGAAGATGATGATGATTGGTAGAAATTTACAAAATTTTATTATTATAAATGAAATTAGCAAGTAATTCAAATTAAAATGCACATTTTTTTTTTATTTTATATAGTAAAAATAAACAGACAAATTTTACAGAGGACATATTAGCTCCCGTGTATACACTCTTCTCCACATGCATGGTTTTAGCTTTTCTGTGCACAAATTATGACAAGGTCACAACTGAGATGTTATCATGGATCATTATTATTTCAATAGTATCGTTGATCGGTTCATTAGGTTTCGTTAAGTATGGCCTTGAAATGAAAGGAAAAAACAATATGAAAAGATTTTTGCGAAAATTTAAACGTAAGGATGATCAAGATGGACGGAACAGATGGAACGATTACGTTTGGATTCCGATCGGTATTTTTACTGCTATAATGATTTTTTCACATATTTTACTTTATTTAGAAATCGCCTTCTGGTTTGATTTGAATAGCTATTTAAATAAATTGTTGTGGAATGCAATAGCATTAGAAACTACTGTAGTAATTTTGGACCTTTTACAAGATACCAGAGAATGATGAAATAAAAGAAATCAGAATTAAAAATTGACATAATAATAATAGTAATAATAGTAGTAATAATAATAATAATAGTAATAATAATAATAGTAATAATAATAATAATAATAATAATAATAATAATAATAATAATAATAATAATAATTAATTACAATACGAAATTTTTAGTATATTTATTTATAATCTTAATATTAATGGGTAGTAGGGTGAAAATAAAAATAATGTAAATTTATCAATGATGATAGTAATTGGTTCAATAATAATTATTCAATGACTCCCAAAGTTCCGGCCGCTACAAATCAAATAATTCCGCAAAAATATACATGATAAAAAGATAAATAATTTATAACATTCTGTCTCAAAATATGCACGTAGAATTCCAAGTTTTTTAATTGCAAACAACAATAATAAAGGATGGACAATGTTTTGTTGGCTGCCCATTATTTGTAATAACAGTTTTCTATTTGATCAATAATCAAAAGTGAGGACATACATTCTTAGTAACTCTTCAACCCGATCTCTTTCTGAAAGCTTTTCATCATTCTAACTACACTAGTTCTAGCAAGGCCAAGTACCTTAGAAATACATGGGATTGTGCATCCGTCTTTATATAAGTCTGATAACTTGACAACGTTCAGGCTCATTTAATTTTGAAATTTTTTTTATTTAAATTTTTAATTTTGTGAACATTAAAAAAATTTATAAAGCTTTAAATAACAAAAACATATACGAATATACAATCGCGTTTTGTCAAATTCCAACTTATTATTATCATATGTCAAAATTTCGGGCAATTTATTTTTTTGGCAGGCTGTATTTTTTCAATCGTTTTATGGTGACAGAAACTTTGTCCAGGGTGCATACTTTTTAAATATTATCATAGTTGTAAATTAGTTGAACCTTTTATAATCAAATCTTTGTCTCAATATATTTAATAGAATGCTGGAATGAGAAAAAAAAAGTTTAGAAGTGAATAACGTGATCAAATTAAAATCAATATTAATATGATGTGACACAGGGATCTTTTTTTTTTTTGAAAAATAGATTTTCCTTCTCTTAAAGAAGAATAATGATAATAATAATAATAAGGCATGAAGAAGTTAAAGGAAAAGGAAAAGATTGTTGATTGAAGACGATTGGAAACCAATATCAATAAAAAATATTTGAATAAAATATCATCTAATCAACAACAAAGATCCTCTCTCTCTCTATTTATTTCAAATACGATACCTAATCAATAGACGTGAAACTATCAGAAAAACAACAACTAGTTTATGACCTGGTGGTTAATATAAACGCGAGAATGTATTTTTTACAGGCTCTGCAGGAACCGGAAAAGGCCTTCTATTATTAATAATCATCTTGGCTCTTAAAAATATTTATGGAGTTGAAGATATTGTTGTAACTACTACGACTGGCATAGCAGCAGTTCACATCAACTCTACACTCTTTCGCGGGAATAGGACTAGGCACCGAACAAACAAAAGAGCTTATTAAAAAAGTTCAAGATCAAAAATTCATATTATTGAATTTTTTTCATCTGATTGACGGGAAATAATAATAATAGTCATTATCATTTGATTATTTATTAATTATTTAATTATCTTATATGGTCTCAATATCGATGGTGAATTATTTAATAAACTGGAAGCAAGTCGCACAAGCTATTCGCAATAATCATAGACCGTTTGGTGGAATATTAGTAATATTTATATTTGTGTATTTTATTTATTAGTTAGTAGTCACGGGTGATTCAACTATCACCAGTTTCTAAAGATCGTAATGACAAGTTTTGTTATGAATCGAACTCATGGATTCAACGTATAAAACATATAATACAATTATCGACAGTTTTTAGACAGGTAAAAAATAACTATTATTATTATTAATTTGTCTATTTGATATATTGATCTAATTCTAATTCTAATTCTATAGATCTTATTGGCATGTTAAATGATATTAGATTTGTGTCTGAAAAAACATTGAAAATCATGAGTGGGTTGAAACTTTCACCACAATATCCTAATGATGGACAATATATATAATATACTCGGATAATATTTATTTATTTATTTATTTATTAAATTACAAGATAGTTACTAGTGCAAATCTTGTGTTTTTAAGTAAAATTCATATATATCAAGCCAAAAGACTATGAACTAATCAAAATTGGTCAATTAAAGATACTTATCAAGGTTGTTTAGCACTAGATAGATGCGCGAATAATGTTAAAACATTAATGAGGATTTAGGTATCATTGTTGAATTTTATTCAAAAGCTACTAGAAAAGATATTATGGCAGCGAAGATGAAATCATGGTGTTTGACCAGCAAGATATAATATTGCCAATAGTTAGATTTACTGAAAATAGAGAATTGATTGTTCGTGAATCTAAGTGGAGACTAGAAACTGTATGGTTAATGAAAAAGTAAAGAGATTAACATATTGGTGAAAATTAAATATTGAATATTTATTTATTTAAAATTTCAAATTAAAAAAATTTTATTTTGATATTTTATTCATTGATTTAGTTATATAGTATCTTTTGTTTGTTTTGATTTTTTTTTTTTAGCGTGTATAATTCTTTTTAACAATATCGCGTGACTAGTATTTCAAATTGTTTTAGCTGTATATTTATTTAATATTAATATGGAGTGTTTTGCGGAAATGAATAAAAATTAAATATTAATATTGTTATATTTATATTATACAAATGCTAATTATTCTTCTCGTTGATTAAATGAACGTATTGTTCTAAATGTTAAACTGACTACGACTTCTAATTATTTCTTTATTACCATAATAACAATATTCTGTACAGCCACTTATATTCAAGCCTTGACGATTTTGTTATGATTAAAAGTGATCTTGGTTCTTTAAAAAAAAGTCTTATCCTCCACACATTTTTGCAATTTGTGATATTAATTTTTCTGTTTATTGTTCAGCTTTGGCTGATTTATTATCACGACTATAGATGGGAGTCTAAATTGTTCTAGGATATGATGTCTAAAGTCAAAATAGTATTTAGACGAAATGTCTAAAATGTCCAAACAAGCTTTTAATGATAATAATAAACAGGTCATTCCTTTTTTTGAACGCGTGCCACACTTTTTTTTGTAATGATAAAAAATATTGATTGAATCGATCAATTGCAAACAAAAGATGAATTAGATGTCCAAATAATTACTATAATATTCATTATGGAAAGTAAACTGTTGTTAATAAACAAATGTGTGAATTATCCCAATCCCGCTATGAATTAACCAATATCGAATAATTTCTTCCTTACGGTAATAATAATAATTTTAGATTTTTAATATTTTTGGCAAACGAATATAATATTTTCGAGTTTGGATAAGTTAAAAAACCATTTTTTTTAAAAAAATCGATTGTGATGACAATTTGCTACTAAAAAAAAATTATAACTATATTTTTGCTCAAGTAAAAAAAGAATGTATCGTCAACATTATGGCCAATTGAAAGGATAATCCCATTTTTCTACTTCGAAACTTCCCGACGCTAAAAGTTTATTTATTATTATTCTAATTACAGCGTGAGCAATATCTGGAAACCCTATTTGTCGGCGTGTCCTTTATCAAAAAGAAATAAAAAAAAAACGATATTAAAAGATTCAAAGCACGTGAGATTAAATTTAAAAAAATTTTCTCACCAGACAGGAAATCCGTGTGCGCAATCGGCCAAATGCTCAACCTTTTGGAATATGAAGACCATGCTTTTATTATCGATATCTCTTCCGCCATTACTAGTGATGCGGTTTATGACACTGCCTTGATCTGGCCTGCGATATTATTTCGTCTTCCATTTGCAGTGCTGAAAACTGGATCGTTCCATTGTACGATCAGGGCGGAATCATCAACCCTCATCATTTTAGGAGCCTCGAGAACCAAACCAGCAATGTCTTCATTTTGCAAAATTATTGGAAACCGAACTAAACACATCGGTGGTGATTAACCTTCGAACGTTTATACGCTCATATGAAAATATCAGTCATGATTTGATACGCACCTTCATCATATTTTTAAAAAAGTTCTTTCATCTTGGAAGAAAAAAAAGAAATTTTTTTCGTTGATGATGAAATGATTACAAGAAATGTGATACTCCCTGATATGAATTAATAAGTATTTTCACAAGCTTTCCAGATTCAATCATTTTCTGTGACAATTCATTTCTTTTTTATCAGGCTTTATACAATGATAATACGATGTAGTTTAATAAGATATTTTTCCAGTTGTTAACGCTGATATAACATCATTGATGAAACAATCCAGAATTCAGGAATGTAGTTTCATAATCTTGAACGTATTTAAAATTTTCGTATTAAAAGTAGAAACATTTTCACATCTATGTTTCTAAAATCACATGTTTTATTAAAAATCCAAAACCGACAAAAAGATAGTAATCTAAATTTTAGTGATAAGTTATACATCAATAGTTCTAATGAAGTTCATATATACTGTAAAAAGAACGCAAGAATTATATTCGATAGATGAATAAATAAATTTTTTTTCCTTTCCAATAAAAAGAGAATACGGATCAATAAAAAAATTGTTTGTTGAATGGCTAATGTATTGTTTTCTTTTCACCTCTTTAAAAGAAAATCAAGATATAATTATTTAACAAAATTAATCTTCTTCTTCTTGTTCTTCTTTTTTTCTTAACTTTTCTTCTATTTCATCCATTTTACCAGATTTGATAGCTGCTTCAATAGGATCGACAAAATTCATCACGCCGGTTTTCTTTAATCTGTCGAACAAAACAAATAATTTTTCAGCTTCGCGTTCTTTCTCTTCATCTGTCATATTGGATAATGATAAAGAAGGTTTTTCATTTTCATAATATTGACCAGTTATGGGATTAATTGGTTTTGATGATGAAGGATTAGAAATGTTGGATTTTGAAGAAGAGTTCGTTATGGATGAAGATGGCGATGATGATGATGTGGTGGATGGCGGAGGTGGAATTAATATATTTTTAGTCATTAAAAATCCAGCAGCATTTCCATAGCCTACATGATGTACAAATAAATGTGCTAAAAATAAAAAAATAAATCGGTAAATAATTGCATATTTTATTACAATAATAACAATAACAATAACAATAATATATAATTATTTACCATCTTCATCACATAAAGTAAATAATAAATTACTTATACTTTCTTTTAAATTTGGTAACAAAACAGATGTCATCACTCTAATCAATCTTGCAGATAAACTATCACCCTTTTCTAATGGTTTAGTCCTATCACTAATTAAAATCAAGAAAAATAGGTTAAAAAATAAATTAAGATTAACCTAATTAAAATTAAAATAAATAAAACCTACACATCATCAGGTAATAAATTATTTCTTAAAATGAGTTTAGCAGTTTGATCTCCTTCAGCAAGTCTCTTCAATAATACAATTAGTGGAGTGATAGTCTCATCAAAACTAACATCATATTTGTCATATTCATTAATAACAGAATCAGGATCACCTTTAATTGTTATGAAAATCATTGTTTTTAATATATCAATTAATTTGTATAAAATTAAGTATTGATTATTTTGATCATTATTATTTGATTTTTTTTTTGATGATTTTGGCAAATTTTGTTGTTGCTGCTGTTGCTGATTAGTTGATTGGGAGGAGGTTGAGGTTGGAAACAAAATTAATTCAACAGGAAAATTTAATAATGCATGGATTGCATGTGAATGTGGTGGTGATAATGGTAAAGGTGAAGGAGGTTTAAGTTCTAAAATTATTTCAAGAATTGATGGAAGAAGTCTAATAATAATAAATTGAAAAAATTGAAGATAAAAGAAGAAATGCCAAGAAACTTAAAGTTATATAAATAATTAAAAATAATCTTACATATCAAACTTTGTATTATTTTCTTTAACTTTTCCCTTGTCATTGTTGTTCTCTTTATCATCATTATTACAATGATACAGTGATGCAAGTTTAGGATAATTCATCATTAAATTAAAAAGTAATTTTAATTGTTCATTTAAAATCATTTCATTAGTATATGGCGAAGAAGATTCTTTTTTTGAATCATAGTCTAAAGATGATAATTCTTTCACAATATTTGAAATGTTCTAAATGATAGTAATAATTAATATTTTATTTTTCTTGAAAAAAAATTGTTTATTAAAAAAAAACATTAAAAGCATTAGAAATTCTTCAACCTTATAAAGTACATCAATTATTCCAAGATCATCAACAAGCTGTTTAGTCGCACTTAAAGAACTAACAGTAATGATAAATAATATTCTAGATAATAAAAAATGTGCCCTTGTTGATAAATTTTCATTCTACAATAATTAGAATAATAATTAGAATTATTAACAATAATAAATAATAAATTATTATTATAACTTTTATAATTTATATAGTTTTACCTTGAAAATCACAAAACTTGTAAAAATACAATTATATTTTTCAAATAAATTTCTTGTGCTATCCTTTAATAAAAGTGAATTCGCAATGCATGTCAACGATTCTTGTGATATAATATTATCTATTAATTTATCTTTTTTTTCTTGCTCTTGATTCCCTACGCTTTCTTCTTCTTCTTCTTCTTCTTGATTTTGTAGTAAACCTGCGTGATTTAATAAAATCTTAAAACCCTAGGTAATTAATAATATAAAAGAATCATTAGTTTTAAAGAAATTGGTCTACAATACTTTTCGTGATAATTTATTATTTGTTTTACCTCTTCAGAAAATAAATAGTCACAACCTTTAGTATCTCTTCCTAATACCTTAATAGTTTGTAATGCTAATGCTTTAACTATATTAATTGATAGTCATCAGAGTAATTAGAATTTTGAAAATTTCAGATTAAATAAATGATTAATCAAGTGATTACCATTTTCATTCCAATTATATTTATTTTCATTAATGTCATTTAATAATGATTTTATCAATTCGGATTTTTCATTTATCTTGAGTGATGGTAATACTACTTGAATGAAAAAACATTTTTAGTTTCTGGTAAATATTGAAAAAATTAACCTATCAATTTATCAATTAATTTACCAGAAGAATTTGAAACATATTCTGTTAAAACATTCGAAACAATTTCATTGTTGGATTTATCTTCTATTGAAATATAAGAATTCATAATAATGATGAAATTCGATTTTAAAATTTGTCCGTGCACAAATTAATTTATTTTGATGATCATGTAGATTTTGTAAATAAAAATTGCTTTTTTTATTATTTTAATTTTTTAACGACGTAATATAATTTCAAAATTTACAAATTCTATGTCAAAGAAATGGATAATCATGATGATCACGATAAAAATTCAGTTGATTGTGATGCTAACTTAACTTCACTTGATTCGCCAAAATCTTCTTTTCCATTAAAATCAAGACCAATCACAATCCCATCGTCAAGATCATCCTCACCGCATCGTTATTCATCAAATACACATATCATTAATCCAATATCAATCGATTCCAACACTGATTTAATTAGCCCTGAAGATAATTTCTCTTTAAATGACACAAAAAAAACAGATTCTTCATTTTATCAAGAATTATCTATTCATGTTGAACAACCTGTTGGTAGCATGTCTATTTCACCATCAAATCGTGATATTGTATTAGCAGCGTATGTATTCTTTTAAAAATTAGAGGTCAATGTTATTGTCATTATTGTCATGTTTATAAATTAAGAATTAAATAGATATAATTATTTATTTAAAAGATGTTTCTCTTAATCCATATACGTATATAGACGAAAAGGTCTTTTTATTATAGATCTGGAAAATCCGTATGAACCTCCTCGTGAACTTCACCATCTAACAAGATGGGAGGTAGCTGATGTACAATGGAACCCACATTTGGCACGTGATACTTGGGTTGCATCTACGGTATGATTTTTTTAAAAAATATTTCACTTTTATTCGATTTTATTCATATTTATTTATTTATTTATTTATTTATTTATTTATTTATAGTCAAATCAAAAAGGACTTATATGGAACCTTGCGCGTCCATCTTCAAGTGCAGTTGAATATATTTTACACGGCCATAACCGTGCAATCAGTGATATTAACTGGAATCCATTTAACCCAGATGGATTAGCAACTTGTTCTGTTGACACTTTCATTCATTTATGGGATTTAAGAAGACCAAAAAAGCCTGTAAGATCATTTTGTGCTTGGACCGGTTAGTTATATATTTTGAAATATTAAAAAAATCTTAATATAATAATATATATATTTAATTCCTCATATATAATTCTTTTTATAGCCGGTGCAACTCAAGTAAAGTTCAATGGAAAAAATGAATATATTCTAGCATCATCACATGATAGAGATGTTATGATATGGGACACAAGAGTAATTTTTAATCATTTTTTTATCATCATTTTATTTTGGCGAAGCAAAGATTATTTATTATCATAATTATTACAATAAAAAAAAAAAAGAAAGGATCTCTTTGTTTAACAAAAATTCGAGCGCACACTACTAAAATATATGGAATAGATTGGAGCAGGAAAAATTATAAAGATATAATAACTTGCAGTTTGGATAAATTGGTGAAAGCAAGTGTTATTCAATAAATTAAATTCAGATATATCAAAATAAATATTGTCAATTTAATACAATGATTCTTTTCATTAACTTGATGTTTAATTTTAAAACATTAGTTTTGGAATATTGATGAACCTGAAGTTTGCCAAGGTTCAATTCATACAAATTCACCAGTTTGGCGAGCAAGACACACAGTATGTTTATATGATTTAGCATTTAATTAATTAATTGTTAAGTTGGTTAGTTAATTAAATGATTAATTAATTGATTTATATATATAATTATTTTTGTAAAATCAGCCAGTTGGTCATGGCATTTTGACAATGCCTCAACGTTCTGAGAATAAATTATATTTATGGAATCAATGTAAACCAAATGAACCTGTTCATGTTTTTGAAGATCACAAAGATGTAGTCAAAGAATTTGTATGGAGGATGAAAGGAGGCGGTCATCCTGATATTGGTATACACATAAATATGCATTTCATTTTTCATATTCATATATACATGTATACATATATTGATTAGTTGATCGATTAATCAATTAATTTGTCATTGAATATTTATCTTGTATCCATACTTTAATTTAGATGATAGGGAATTTCAATTAATTACTTGGTCAAAGGATAAACATCTGAGATTATGGCCCATAACTAATGAACATTTGAAATTAATTGGCCATGAAAAAGGCAAATTAAAATCTCCATCGGAAAAATTATTAAAAACTGGTCATTCCACATTCACATTTCGTCATCCACCTTCATTACTAAATGGCCAATCAACATCTCCAACTTTATCAGTAACTGCTAATATTTCAACTTTAAGAGTCATCCCAGGAAATCGTATGAATGCAACAACAAACAACACACTTCGACCTTCCGGTGCTTCTGCTGGTGGTGGAAACATTCAACCAGACTATCTTGGCGCTGCTGCTGGTATGTGCCGTGTAGAACGTCGCTCGTTATCACCTTTATTATGGATGCAAAATGTAAGGATGGTTAAGCCAAGTAGTGGCGTTGGTAAGACAGATGAAGATACTCCACCAAATATGCATGAAGAAATCAAACTAGTTTCAAAAAAATTCCTTAACGTTGAATTTGAAAAGGTAAGTAAATGACTGTTCATATGTATAGACTTAATTGTTGTTTGTTGCAGAAGAATTGAGTGGTATGTTATTTGTATTTATATATTAAATTTTCACGGATTTAGCTCAACCCACAAGGAAGGAGTTGTACCATTAGTTTGCATGGACCATGGTCTGCCAGTGGTGTAGCTTTCATTAGAATTAATATATCATTTCCACCTCAATATCCTGATAAATTTCCTCCAAATTTTAATATTCAAAGGACAGGAATGATATCTATAATGAATAGAACGCATATGTTGCAAAATTTAAATAGTATTGCTTTATCCCATGTATCTCAAAAAAGACCATGTTTAGAGGCTTGCATACGTTATTTGCTTGGTGAGCAACCCAAGGAAGTGGCACAAGATCGTTATGGAAAAGATGATTCAGATGATGAAAATTTATTGAATTCAACCAGAAGATCTTATGATAAAAATTTAGTTTATATTTTAGGTGATAAAGATGACAATAATAATGTTCCTTTTCCAATGTTATGTGGAGCTCGATTTTCTATGAATGGTGAGTTGTTATTGTTATTGTTGTTGTTGTTATTATTATTATTATTATTATTATTATTATTTGTTTAGTTATTTATTATTTATTAATATTAATACTCTTTATTTTAGGTCAACTTATTTGCTTTTTTTCAAGTCTTAGATCACCTGATGCAAGCAATCAAATTACATCAATAACCTCAAGAAATAAAATAGATTCTAGTATGCGTTCCCGTTACACATATACACATCCACGCTCTTTTGATTCATGGGAACAATATAAAATAATTTCACAACTTCCACGTCCGGTGACAAGTTTTGGACAATATAATTATGATGCATCTTATGAAGACGATGAAAATAAAGACAATTTATTACCAATTAATTCATTGTATTTTAAATCAAAGGTATTTATTTTCTTGAAATTATTTCTATTTAATTTAATTTTTTTTTTAAAAAAAAAATATCTTGCTTATTTTTGATATTTTATACTATTGTTATTATTATTTGTAAGAATGATACATTACATAATGCTCTAAATTCAACAGATCATGTCACATTATTTGAATCGACAAAATTGGATAAGTCTGGTCCTATCACACATATTTATGATTTATCAAAATGTTTGCCTGTTAATATGAAATTAGCGAAACAATATATGTAAGTTTAAGTTATCCAATCTATCCAGCTATCCATTTTTTTCTCTAGTATCTTGTGTAATAATAATAACGTTATTATTATTATTTTTTATTTATTATTAAATAGTACTTATGGAAATGATCCTGCAGTAATATGTAAACATAACGCTAAAGTTGCAGCATGCAATAATCGGCCTGATTTGGAACAAGTTTGGTTGCTTGCTGCTTTAATTCTAACACAAGCAATTCCCACTACAAAATTTATTAAAAATTCATTTAGTAGTAACGATAATATGTCCTTGTTTACTGGAATTCATCACCATTATAATAAATATTCAAATAATAATAGTAAAAGAAGTGAAATTGGCGGTGATGGGTTTGAGTCAACAACAACGATGATGATGAATGATGGATTATTTAGAAAAGTTAATTGGGGATTTCATCCTTTGGGCAATAAACTTGTCAAACATTTGTTAGTTATATAGTAATAATATTATTATTATTAAATAAAAACTTATATAATGTTAATATCATTTATATAAATTTCTAAATATATATTTTATAGGTTTGATCATTTTAAAAAGATTGGCGATATTCAAACATTGGCTATGTTGTCTTGTGTATTTGATGAACCTTTTCCACCAAAAGTTAAATCTTCTTGGTCATTTGAACTTCAATCCTGGGTATTTATTTATTATTTGATGAAATTTTATTAATTTTCTTATAAATAAACACCTTAACAATTTGTAATAATAACAAAAAAAAATTTTTTTATTTTTCTTGTTTCCTCACTTTCACGTTCACATATCTTTTTTAGAATTCGCCTAATTCAACAAATGGAACAACATCAACCAATACAGATTATTTTAATTATCATACTCGTTATCCAGATAAATGTTCTCCGACAGGTTATACTAATCGAAACCCCATTTATTCTGGAAATCAATCAATATACGGTGAATCATATAATTCACATAAAGGATCTTGGGGAACTGTGTCAGCATATAATTATAACAACAACAACTATAATAATAATAATGGCACTTTAATCGACGGCAGTCTACAAACAGGAAATTCACCAAAACAACTTAATTCAAGCACAACAGGTATATACGGACATTCAGAAGGCTCAGGTGCATATATTACAATGCCTACACCAAACCACAAACCAAATCATCACCGAAGATCTACTTTTGGTGGTCCAACCCGTGATGGAAATATTTTCTCTTCTAGTTTAGGAGCAGTTACAGCATCATCACCTCCACGAACACCCAAAAAGGATAGCCCAGCGATAGGAGGTGGGGGAGGATTTGCAGATAATTTTGGATGGGGAGGAATGGGAAGTGGTGTAAATCATGCCAACGAAAAGAATTTAGATAACGAACGTAAACCAAATGAGATTAATATAACTATGATGAATTATGAAGAATTTGATGATGAAAGAAGGTAAAAAAATTATTTTTTAAACAAACTTTTCCTTCATCTCTGCAAAGAAAAAACCATTTTAATTTAACAAAAAAAAATTCTTTTTAATAATTAGACCAATATTCGTACCATTATTAGATAATGATAGAAACACAAAAGAGATACATGACCAATATCGTTTGGCATATTCAGAAATTTTATATCATTGGGGACTTTATGAAGAAAGAACTGAACTTTTAAAATTTATGAGTTTTGTAAAAACGAATGTAGGAAGTCCAATAGGAGAAAGGGAGGAACCATTAGGTAAGAAGGAAGAAGGGTTAATTAATTAATTTAGTTAATATAATATTTGTTCAGACAAGATCAATTTATATTCTACAAAAAAATAACCATTTTGCTATCGTATCGCCATAATCATATTTAATTTATAGAAATTGTTACACGTTGTTATCTGTGTGAAGCAGAATTAAAATCTGGTACAAAATGTACAAAATGTCGTGTAATTGGTATTAGATGTTCAATCTGTCATCTAGTCGTTAAAGGTATGTGTGTATTTATATGTATTCTGAAAAATATTTTATTTTCCTTAATTAATACTATTTATTTGTTTAGGATTATCGAATTTCTGTGTAAAATGTTCACATGGTGGGCATACAAATCATCTTAATGAATGGTTTCTTGATGGTAATACGGAATGTCCAACTGGATGCGGGTGTATTTGTTATTTGCAAGATGGTGGATTTGGATTTGATGATAGATTCTATTAATGTAATATATATTATTTTCACTTATATATATATATCAATTATATCAAACTTTTAAAAGATTGTATTTTATTGTAAATATGCACAACAAGAATGTTTATAACGAATTTTATTATTTAATTTAATAAGTTATTTTCTTTCCAAATTTGCTCCCCCATTTATGGGACGCAGAAGAAAGAATTTATTGGTACACTAATAAATTTTTGTATATATATAATATCAAAGGTCATGTATATTCATTTGTCAGATCTTTTTTTTTTTGGTATTGAATTAATTATGTCCGCATCAATATATGATTTCTCTGCTAAATTTGTTTTTATTAACAAAATTATAATAATTTCAACCAAGTTGCATGTGCTTTGTCCAAAATAAAAAAACCTTTACAATATAAATAAAAATTTCGATAATAATGATGTTTATACCAATATCATTATAACCAGTTTGTTTATCCATTCTTTAAATAGTAATGTCTTAATTCCTCTGCTAGCTATGATCAAAATCCAAAGTTTCTCAAACACACACACACACATATTCAAAATAAATTGGATTTATAGAATTAATAATTACCCTATTACACAGAAATCCAGAAATCCAGGAAGATTAAGGAATCCGTTAACCTAGAAATCAGCCAACCAGAAATCCAATAGAATCGCAGATTTTTGACCAGATAAACCAATCAAATCACAACGACCAGACCCTCAAATGCTAACCGTAGGCCAAGTTCAGAGAACAACGTGGGTACCAAACGAATGATTTACTTAATAACTTTATATAGAATTATTATTAAACCACATCAAGGATAGCACCATTGAACGTTGCCCCATCCCCCATCCCCAACGATCAGACCCAGAACCCCGATAAATGTTGATACTCACTGAAAGAGTCGTACAGCGTAGGCAACTAAACGAATGATTTGCTTAATAGTTTTATATATAATCTATTATCAAACCACATCAAGAATAGAACCGTCCGCCATCGTACCCTCCCATTTAATGCAAATAACAACAACTTTAAGAACCAGAACGGCCATTTAACAAGTCCAGAAATCCCTAAGAAATCTGTCACCCCGTCTCCTCGAGATTAAAAATCCGTCGTTAGAGCAGGATACTAACTCATTAACCCCACCCTGGAAGGTTTTGACACTATAACATAATAAAAATAATAGTAAAAATTAATGTTAAAAATTTTTGCAAGTTTTAATTTTTGCATATGTTATCTAATTCCAAACACATAAACATATTCAAAATAAATTGAATGCATAGAATAGAATTAATAATTACCCTATTACACAGAAATCCAGAAATCCAGGAAAATTTAGGATCCGTTAACCTAGAAATCAGCCAACCAGAAATCCAATAGAATCGCTGATTTTTGACCAGATAAACCAATCAAATCACAACGACCAGACCCTCAAATGCTAACCGTAGGCCAAGTTCAGAGAAC